TTGTGATTTGGAATTGGTAATTTCTGGCTCCTCTAATAAAGTGGTGGAATAATCCAAAAGCAGACTGCCCTAGAGGTTGTAATTTGAAAGTGAAATGGAAGGAAAGAAATATATGAATGATATTTTGTAGGCAAAAAATAGCTTAAATTTGGAACACTAACAGTTGGCAGATAATTGGGAGTGTGTGCACATGTGGACAGATATCCTAAATTAAACTTTGGAACTTTCAAGCAGGAGTCTGCTCCCTGTTGTCTCCTTGCAGTATGGACTGCTTGTAAATTTTAATGACAATTGGACTAAGGAAAAGTGGCATGTTCCAAATCTTGCAGTTTATTAATACAGAGACATGACACAGAACTGTCAAGCAGGAGGCTGAGCACCACTGTGCTTCTGCACATGAACTATGGAATTGGGAAGATCAGGTTCTGGAAAGAGGAGCTGGCGCAGAAAGAAGGATTGGTGAAAAGAGGAAAACTTGGAAAAAAGTTCAAGGATCCAGAAGATCAGGAATAGTCATGGAGAGGAATGCCAGGGGGTGTCCAGGGAGCTTGGCCCTAACACCTGAGACAACTCTAACCCTGGGGAGACACAGAGCACGGGTGGACAGAACCTCCTGCCCAGCTGCCCTGGCTTGAAGTGACCTCCTGCCTGGGAAGGAAAATATTGGTAACCTTTCAAGAAACAGGCTGGGTTTATCCAGCTTTATGCCAACCTTACTGGCTTCAGACAGTACAGGACACAAAGCATTCCATGTAAACATGGAATATAGCACAGAGATACACACCCAGAGTGGATCTGAGAATGCGCTGGGACTTCAGAATCAGTTCTGAGCTGTGTGGCAAAACAAGTCTTGAGGAAAGGCTTAGACAATCAAAGTGTAAAATTTCACCTTCTTTATTAGACTATACAGAGGACCAGCCTTGCAAACATCCTTAAAGGATGTGATTGATTTGATGAGGGAGGTGTAAAGAACTAGAGTTCTTTCTAATTGCCTTTTCAATTTGTATTTATATTTGTAAGCCTCATAGGTTGAAAAGATCTACGAGTGTGGCTCAGCATAAAGTTCCCTGCAATCCCTGAAAGCTGAGATATTTGAGTAGAGCCAGAGACTTCTCTATCCATCCTCTGTTGCAGTTTTATGACTCAATCCTTGATTCAAATTTTGGAGTTTAAACCATGGTAACTATGCGTCCATTTCAAAATAAACGAAAACCACAACATTTATCATGAGCAGAGGATTTAAATGCAAATTTGTTGAGAATACTTGTTCCTTGTCAGCCATGAAATGTGATGTATTAGAGCACTGTGGATTTTATTTTTATTGGGTGACTGCATTCTACCTTCAGTTTGATCTATATGATTGAAGGGAGGATCTTTGTCTCCATGAAGGATGGCTAGTGCAGGTCAGAGAGAAATGGGGACTCCTTTAGCATCACATGTTGCATTGTGAAAAATCTTTCAGGATTCAGCTAAGAAAGTTTTGTCTGTTACTTTGCAAATAAGCCTCCTTTTGAATTCTAAATACAGAATAAATCAGGTATTCCAATCCTTTTACCATACATGAGAAAGAAAAATAATATACTCTGCAATATAGGTCATCAGCATAGATATTTTTATCCTAGGTTGTATTTTAATTTAAATACTGTGGGGTTTTTTTTTTTGGTGTGTATCTTTTTCACAATAATGAGACAACATAATAAGTCTGCATTATAGAGCAGGCAGGTAGAGCATTTAAATTATCATAAATAAATGGAGAGGATAAAACCATCATTATAGAAAAAAATGAGAGCAAACTTACAGTTTATCATCAGTCATTTATTCAGCTGTCATTTATTTTCAAAGAATTGGCTGGAGCTAATGCCTAAATATAAGAGTCATGAATGCAGTGGCATCAGGGGTTAAATTTCTTTGCTCAAACTTTGTTGAAAAGATGGAAATCACCTTAATCCAGGCCTGTATTTTCTACCTTTATATGTTTTTTGTTTGTTTGTTTGTTTGTTTGTTTGTTTTCCCCAGAAGGCAGCTATCTTCCTGTGTTTATGGAATTCTTTCCCACTATAGTTTTCTGCCAGCTGTGAAGGCAGCAAGTTCTTCCCTCTGGATATGACCAGAGCTCAGTTTGCACTGTGTCCTTTCCCTCAGTGAGGTACCATCCTCAAGTGCTGTATCAATAGCATATTATGAGCTGAAAGCATTTCCAGATGAGATTTTTCCAGGATTAGGAACCCACAGCTGTGGCTCAGGTGAAGCTCAAAGCCAAAGTGGTGGCTTCCCCTGACAGTGAAATATTCTGACATATGTAAGTAAAAGTTGCTGCCCTCTGTACAAAAGCAGCGCAGAAGGACACAGAGGACTCTTCCTTTTCCCTGCCTTGCCTTTCTCACCTTTCCTCTACAGTGTCTTGAATCCAAGGCTCTCTCATCCCGATGAGCCAGTGGCACGGCCTCCAAGTCTTGCTGCAGAAAGGATGTTGAGACGGGGCAGGAGGCACAAAGATTTATTGGTGTGTGCTGGTGACAGACATTGGCTCCAAATATGAAAGTTTCTTTGGGGGAAAATTAAATATGGCAAGAGATAAAGCAGAAAGGAAATGGAAAACCCTTCCCAGGAAAGAGAAGCCATGAAGTTGCCAAACAAGCATGTTTCCATGGATATTGTCCAACACTTAACCCTGCACAGGACCAACCCCAAGAGTCACCCCCTGTGCCACAGAGGATCATCCAAACCCTCCTGCAGCTCTGGCAGCCTTGGGGCTGTGCCCACTGCCCTGGGGAGCCTGTTCAGTGCCAACCACCCTCTAGGGGAAGAACCTTTCCCTGGGATCCACCCTGAGCCTGCCCTGACACAGCTCCAGCCATTCCCTGGGGGCTGTCCCTGCTCACAGAGAGTAGAGATCAGCTCCTGCCCCTCCTGAGGAAGCTGTATTTTGTTATGGGATCTCCCTTCAATCTCCTCTACTAAAAGCTCATTTGAAGGACAATCTAAATTCCCCTTTACAATCTGATTGTGGAAACTATATGGAAAACACCTTGGAAAAAAAATTATGCCTTTAAAACAGATGTAGGTTATTAGGTTATCTAGCTAACAAGAGCCTTTTTTTTTTTTTTCTGTATAATAGAGCAACAATGCAGCAAATACACCAGAACATCAGCACTGGAGTGTGAAAAATAGTTTTTTATTTCATTTACTGTCTTTGAGATCCTACTGGCCAGCACATACCTGCCTGCCACTTATTTACAGTAGTGCAATAAGAGATTTTTCTCCCTGCTACTCCCCAGTCAAAGCACTTCTTTCATGCAATAATAACCTAATAGTTGTCTTACCCTTTGTTTTACCTTCCTTAACCCTTCAAGGGAGAAACGGGAACTGTCTCCCATCTGGATATTTGATTTTGAATGGGCTTAAGCCAAAAGGCTGCTCTTATAGTGAGAGGCAGAAAATAGAGGTTTTTTTGTCTTATTCTGCTGTGGACAGCCAGCTGGCAGTTCTTCTCAAGTTGGAATTTCAATGGACTCCTGGCAGCAGTTTCCCACTTATCCCTCAAAGGAGTGGCACACTGTCTTACAATGTCATTTTGTTATAGTTTATTTCTTGCATAATGAGCAACATTGACAGGGATATTTGCAAATTCTTAAATATTCTGGCATCCCACTGGTAAAATCAGTGGATTACCATTTTGGTTTAAAAGAGTTTCAGTTTCAAACAAAATAGTAATTTTAGACCTTCCAGCTTTGATATGTAGAAAGCTAGAAGAACCTGGTTATCTTTGTGATCCTCTTTTAAAAATTCAGTATTTTAAAAATTCAAGCCTAATCCTTCAGACTGCAATGATAAGTTCTCCTAAAGAGAATGCTTCTCACCCAAATAATCAATAATTGCTCCTCAGGTATATTAATGCTTGGTCCAGAACAAGGGTTCAGAGTGCATGTGCACACCACAGCTGTCATGCAATAAAATGTATATTTGATAATATGCTTTATATGAAAAAATTAGCAATTTACCAATGTATTTGTTTAAAAGTCCAGATATTTGGAGTATCTGTTGATAACTTTAACATAATCTCTTATTTCCTTTTATATCTGGTCATGTCAGTTCTTCAGTTATGATTAAAAGTATGAGAACAAAAGAAAGAAAGGACTATTAAGGTTTGGTTATTAAGGATGGGGTATATGTGATTTCCAGACTTAATACAGGAAAAATAGGTTTTTTCACTGTCATATTACTATCCAGGTAAGCTCCTTAATTGTGCAGTGCTCTGTGGCATGAACTGGACTCAAACTGTGGGTTGTTTGTTGTGGGTTTTATTGTGTGTTTCTTACCTCATAGGTCAATACTAATTCTTGTAGGCGTGGTCCTGTGGGAGGATAAAGAAAGCAAGTGATGTATTTGTCTAATTCCTCACCTAGCAAGGCTTCCTACACGAGTTTATTAATATTTCATTGTTTCTCTAGCAGAGTTCTTTTCACACTTCTCTGTTCTCTCTTATTTACAGCTGAGGAACATGGGCTCTTTCATGTTATTCATTAACAGACATTTATTTGACAAATGCTGGTGGTGGTTGGTTTTCTTTTTTTCATGCAGAACTCCTGTGCTGTGAAACCTCTGCTGGCTACTTGGTGGAAGGGTGTTAATGCAACAGGAGGAACTCTTGAAAGAGTCTATTTCCCATCTGCATCCAAGGCAAATTGGTTCAATTCTTATTGCAATACAAGGGAGAAAATCCATTCACTTCATCATAGGAAGAAATGGGACAGCTTTTAGCTCAGGATCATACAATCTGCTGGCTGTATGTAGTGTCTGGGTGGAAAGAGATGGTTTTGGTCAGCATATAAGGCACAGGGAGATGTTTAATTAATTATACAGAGCAGTGAGAAATTCACTAAAGGGTATCCAGGCTGACCTTGTTAGAAAGATAGGACTGTGTGTATAACAGCAGCTGAAGCAGTTCATGGCTTCTGCAGAATGACAATAATAAAACAAGTTTACCTTGCCCTTGGCAGTGGAAACTGTACCCACAGCTGGCAGATCTGCTTCATCACACACAGGTTTTGCAATGGGACTGCTTTAAGGACAAGCCACACCCGCAGGAAACCCTCGGACGTCACAGGTGGTTTAAATCAGTATTGATGGACATGAGTTGCCTATTTTGGACATAGCTGTGTGTTATTTGTATTGCCTTGCTCTTCTAGTTAGGTGAAAACTGTACTGGTATAACCACAGAATCATATCCTGAGCTGGAAGAATTATGAAATTCCAACTCCTGGCCCTGCACAGACAGCCCAGTAATCCCACCCTGTCCCTCAGAGAGTCGTCCAAACCCTCCTGGAGCTCTGGCAGCCTTGGGGCTGTGCCCACTGCCCTGGGGAGCCTGTTCAGTGCCAACCATCCTCTGGGGGAAGAACCTTTCCCTGAGATCCACCCTGAGCCTGCTCTGACAGAGCTTCGTGCCATTCCCTTGCATCATAAATGCTTTTAATGGATTTTAACGCCTATCACAAGGCAAAAGTATAAGCCATCAGAATTCTAACTCAAGTGAAATGCCTGGGCCTAGAAATGTGGTTTTAGATTTACATGACTTTTGTCTATCAGTTTTTGTCACATCAGTTTTGCACATACTTTTTTTTATGCTCTTGGTACCTAAAGTAGAATTATTTCACAATGCTAGTGAAGAACACTGTAATCTTTTTTAAGAACTGATACCTTCCTTATGATATACAGGGCTATTCTTGGCTCACTCTCAGCTCATCCAGAGAGTGAACATAATGAAGAATTATCCTTGACTGGCCAACTCACAGCTCAAAGGGCTGTGTACTGACCACTCATGCTGGACACACAGTCAACAGTGTATATGAGGCATCAGAAAGCAAACACCTTCCAGAAAATATTTTTCTAATTAACCCAGTGATATTAAAATGACATTTATTTCAGTGTTGGTCTATACATTAAGACATTTCCTTAATCATTCATTCGAGGGGAAGAGGAGGGGCAGGCACTGCTCTCTTCTCTATGGTAACCAGTTACAGGACTCCAGGGAACGGCTGGAGGTGTGTCAGGGGAGGTTTAGTTTGGATCTCAGGGAAAGGTTCTTCCCCCACAGGGTGGCTGACACTGAACAGGCTCCCCAGGGCAGTGGGCACAGCCCCAAGGCTGCCAGAGCTGCAGGAGGGTTTGGATGATCCTCTTGAGCACATTCTTGGGGTTGGTCCTGTGCAGGGCCAGGAGCTGGACTCGGTGATCCTCGTAGGTGCCTTCCAACTCAGCTGATTCTGTGATTCTATGATTTGATTTCACGGTGCTAATTCCATACACATACCATGAATCTTAATCAAAACAAAAACTCCAACAGCCCTGAACTATGCATTTCATAATCGACCAGCAGAACTCTGCTGTATGTGTTCATCTTGTCTAAATGCTAAACTAAACGCAAAACTTCTGTTCTCTGACTTCCAGGAGCTCAGCTGAGCAGTGGGGGTTTCAATTAAAAACCACAGGAAAGGAAAGGAATATGTCAATAAAACCACACACTTGTAAGTACTGCATACTAGTTTGCAAACAAACACAGCAAGTGTCCTCCGAGTATGAGTCTATTACTGTAAATTTAGACTGAATGCACAATGTTGAAGGTGACTGTCCCAGCATGATCTTCCTTCATTTCATGTATAGTGAAATGCTCTCTGGCTTTACATTCAATAGCTTGATCCACTCAGTCTGCAGTGAGAGTAAGGGAGGAAAATACCAAGAAGAGGAGAAAGGCTCGAGCCAAATTAGCAATGTTTGGTTCCATTTTGAGAGAAAATGAGAAGTGCAAAGGAAAGAGTAGAAGGTGGGGGGAAAAAAAAAAGAGAGAAAGTAGTGGATTGATTCTTAGGCAATATCCTGTGTGAGAGTTTAAGTGTAGACACCCCTTGAATAGAAATGTAAATTCCATGATTTGCATTATAAAGCTTTGTTAAAAAATAACTGTCACTAGAACAGATTATGTTCATAATTAATTAGTTGTAGTCTGGGTGCAGTCACTTTTTAAAAAGGTTGCATTAGGGATCACATATTTTATTGTGAGTCATAAGAATAGTGAAGGTAAAATTTCTAAACAATTTACAATTCATAGAAAAATATAAATTCTAATACATTTTTTAAAATACAATGCACCCTATGGTGCTTTTATTGCTCTCATATTAAAAAGAGGAACCAGTAAGAGAAAAAACATGTAGTTTACCTAATTAAGTGAGCAAAATACAGCTTAAATTTGCAGAAGGCTAGTAACTAATGCTAAATATATTGGCTTCATATTGTGTTTGAACTGTTAATAAAGTGAACTCACTATTCAAGTATTACAATTTTTTCTCAACCAATAAAGAAATGAAAAGGGAAAACCTAGTAGCAGAAACAGTGTACAAATATTCAACTGGTTTTTTCCACTTCAGCAGTCATTTCTTTATACAGCTGTTTCCTAAACACGAAAAAAAGCCACAAAAGATAGAAAGGCCCTCAGTTTTGAAATTTGATGCCATGGTTCTTTGACTATGTAGAGGCTGAGCTGCTGATTTAATAGAGGTCCTCAGCACTGACCTAATTCTGCTGCTTTTAAAAACTCCTGTTGTTTAGCAGTGTATCCAACAGGACTGGATTGACACAAGAGCTGAAGGCTTTTGAGCAGTCTGGGTTTCATTTTATTCACAAGGATGTGAAAGTCTATGGGTAATACAGAATTGTATTTGCCTCCTATCTGCCAATGGCAGTGGGGACAGGTTGCAATGATTTTTCACACACTAAGATTTTTAAATTTTGAGCAGTTCTGTCGAAATCAATGTGAAAGTCTTTGCAGGACATCTGAAATGTCAACACACTGCATAAACAGGTGCCTGCCTGACAGTCATTGAAAATTAGAGCCCTGCAATGTATGTTTTAAGATTACATGGGCTCAAGAATACGCTGCCACAATCCAAGGAATAGTTGTTGTTTTATGACTGTGAAGCTGAACTATTTGAAGAAGTGATGTTTGGTGATTCTGGGCTAAATCCTATTTAATCTGGTTTCTAAAGATGCTTGGTGCCAGGAGAAGAAAGCCCAGACTGTAAGAATGGTAAGCAGGAGGGAGAGCAGAGTATAAACCTGTGTCACTCAGCAAAAGTGCCCACTCGACCTCAAGGCAGAGCTATTAGTGTGTCTCAGTGTGGGTGCCACAGTGGCAGTTCTGATCTGATGTCCAAGTCAGCCCTGAGCTGACTTAGCTGAAAAACAGCTGGAACATTTAGTCTGAGATGTCAAAGATAACCACATATGATGGGAACTGCATTGCTCTCCTGTGTCCTTTTAGTTAGAGGAAATTAATTTCTCCTAAATGTGTTAATGCAAACAGTCATCTTGATTCAGAGGGAGCCTGGAAACAGGAAAGGGGCTGCAGAGTCTTAATTAATCACTTTACTGGCCCTCCCCAACATTCTACCCTGAGAACTCCTTCTCCATATACTTTCTAAAAAAACTTTATAGCAGCCGCTACTTTCTTAGTTCTCTTTTTTCTTTTTCTTCCACTGAATAAATATAAAAAGAAGGGCAGCGTGAAGGTCTGGGAGAAGGAGATCAAGAAATGAAGGTCTGGGAAAGGAGATCAAGAAATGGAGGTCTGGGAAAGGAGATCAAGAAGTGTTTTAAGAGGAAGACAGCAGAGATGAAGGAAAAAGGAAGAGGGAGTGGAATGTTCCACATAAATGGGTGGTGTTCTGAAGAATATATTAGTCTAATAGAGGCATGGAAAGTTTCTAAAGCCTCTTCAAATGGGGAATTGTGATTCAACTATAGTTTAACAAGTATTTAATAGAGTATGGAGGCATATATTCTTTCATTGTATTTTTGGTTTCTACACATGGTAAAGGTTTCTGATATCAGTGGGAAAACTTCTCATTTTATACAGAGGTCCATTAAAATACTTCCAGTTTTAGATCATCACATTTGTTTCCATCTCTGAGCTCAGTAGGATCTGTTCTCCTGATGAGTGTGTGAGGAACACACTCCCTGTTGGAGATGGGTGCTTTGAGGGGACTAAACTACAGGGTAGTTACTGGGATCCTCATTTGACTGGTTTTGGTAGGTTTGTCCAGGTAGATGTTTAACTGGTATAATCCTTAATGGTGTAAAATGTCAAGAGTTTTCCATTAAAGTCAGTGGAAAATCACCCATTGACTTAAATGAGAGTTGAATTGGGCCTTTTGAAATAATATGCAAAAATAGCTATTTCCACTCTTTGTCATCCGTTTTCACACACTGAGAGCTGGATGAACTGGCAGGAAGCAGCAGGATGAATGGGAGATGCAAAAAAACCCCATGTCATATTCTGAACATTCCATACCAAGGGTAACATCCACTCATTGCCTTTGCAGAGGCAAAAAAAACTCCTTGAGAGACATGAATATAACCCTGCAGAAGATGACTGTAAAAGATCACCTCAAACAAAGAACATGATGTCAACTAATAAATTTTAATTTGATCAGCTCACTTTTATGGGAGCATTTCCCTGTGATTATTCAATGGATTTCTGGATGGCAGCTGTGACGAGTGAATGACAATTAATATGTACCTCTTATGAATCTAAACCACAAAATACTTCAACATGTACTGTGCTTTAATAGTGGGAATGATACCACGAGCATCCAAGAGTTTAGATACAAAGTGTCTTAGAGTTCCAAGGACTTGTTTTGGGCTGGGTTATCTAATTGCACATATAGTACAGAGCTTATACTGGTAGGTAAGCGCAGTTCTTTCCTTTCCCTTTTTTATTTCATTTGCTTATAGTTGCTGGTTTAGAAATCCATTAAAACCCAGACTTTTTGGTAGAATTTTTTCTTTAAAGTGGAGTCTCCTAGTCTTTTTTTTTTTTTTTTTTTTTTTTTTTTTTTTTTTTTTTTTTTTTTTTTTTTTTTTTTTTTTTTTTTTTTTTTTTTTTTTTTTTTTTTTTTTTTTTTTTTTTTTTTTTTTTTTTTTTTTTTTTTTTTTTTTTTTTTTTTTTTTTTTTTTTTTTTTTTTTTTTTTTTTTTTTTTAAAGCTGAATATCTTAAAACTTATATATATTCCCCTTGAATTCAGGATGGGTAAATGACTCAAAGATTTTTTTTTTTTCTGTGAAATTTCCATTCCCAATTTCCTAAGTGCAATTACAGTGATGATTAACAAGAGCAGCACTATGGATAAGCAAATGTATAATTCATATGAGTGTACCTGGTCAGAGCTAGGGATTTCTTTTTTTCTCATTCTTTATAAATGAAACAGAGATTCTATCTTCTTAAGCCTTTTTGCTCTTCCCTGTTTCACAAAGGAAACACTTAATTTGAATAATATCAAAATGACATAATAAATTTTGAAAACTTTCATTTTATACTTTTGACTGAAACTATTCTTTGAATAGTCTCTCTTTTTTTTTTTTTTCCCCTACACTCACTTGGGTAAAATTTACCTGGCTGTCCAGCTTAGTGTTGTGTTGCCTTTGTAGAATAGGTAAAATGCTCTAAAGCTATAATATACACGATGAGATCTCAATGTTTTTCCTTTGTTTTGATTTCTGATCATTTCCCATTGCCTTCCACTGATTTTGAATAAGGTTTTTTTCCAGCTTTAAGGGTTCTGCAAAAACAGAATTAACAGGAACAGGTAGTGTTTGACAGTCTGCACAGTTATGCCCAGGCCAATAAGTCATAATCACCAGTTTCTTTTTAGGCTGTGCATAAGACCCTAATAACCCTCCCTCTTCTCAGTCTGAGAAGCTCTTCTAGATTAATCCTGGATTGGAGAGCGTATTAATTACACTGGTTAGTAACAAGAGACCTTTTTTTCCCAGGCGCTGTATCTGGTATGTGCTTTAGTGAAAGTTGAGGACGCTTCTTGTAATTACATAATCTCCTTTTGAGATCACACCAAAGTGTTCTGGAACCCGAGGTTAAAGCATGTAGGAGTTCCCAATATCTCCAAAAGTGAAAAAAACCTGGAGGATGAAAGGACAGCCTTGCAATGTTAAATTTTCTGCATGTAACTATTAAAGTGTTTTTTTCCTAGGAAGATTTTTTATGTAAATACTGCTTTAACTATCTACCAGAGTCAGATATATTGACTTTTTTTACAGAAAGGTACAGACTTTTTCTCCAATCAACAGAGCTGTGGGTAACTTTCAATATTCATTGCTGGACCTGGGTTTGGGCAATTTAGCAGGAGCTCTGTGGTACAGTAAGATATTTTCCTGTATCTTTTGTATCCCTCTGGCTCCTGGTCTGCAGCTGGGAGAGCCAGTTCTGCTCTCCAGGCACAGGCTGGGTGTCTGAGTGCCCTGACAACGTGCTGAAAGCAAAACTGGAGAAATAGATGTGGGCCAAAACCTTCCCTGCTGAATCTCAGAGCTGCAATCCTATAAATTCTCTTCCATTCCACTCTGAATTCTGAAGTAAAATCAAGGAAACAAAAGTATTGTATACATTTACATTTTAAATTGTGTAATCATGTTATTATCTGAAACTAATACCATGCTGTTAAAATTTAGATAAAG